CCCCCATAAATTTATGAAATAAAAAACAAATTGTTATTGAAATGCTTTGGGGAGTGGAAGTAGTCTTGAGTTTAAGATTAAAATAATAAATATTGTACCATGTTATGGGGGTTTCCCGTGATTGTAAATACATGTGCTGTACCACTGTGGAAGAAATTATTTTCTTGGATAAATAAAGTTGAATTTTCCCATATGTACTTCTCACTGTCATTCTCAATTCTTTTAAAGTATTTTTTTCTCATTTCTTTCTGGTGTAGAAGGAGGATGGTCCAAGTGACCTCCTGAGGACGGTGTATGGATTGACGCCACACAAGAGTAAGGTAAGGCAAAAGTGTATTTTTCTCTTTGCTTCATGGTGTCTTGCTTTTTTAACAATATTTTCTAAGAAATTACTTTATTGGGGGGAGGGGGTGGGGTGGTCATAGATCTGTGTCATGGTGTTATGACGGGTTATTTAAAATGTGACCTTGGACACAGCCAATGCCCATGGAATTAATGAAGCTGACACTAGCCTTTACTTCACTATATGATAAGCTTTCATTTGGAAAAGGGGAATCTGAAATTTGAGTTGTTTAGTACAGTATCATTGGCATGATATACTGGACAGTAAAAATGCAACACTTCTTTCGCAGAGTCTGTACACATGTATCAAATGAAGATAGACTAGATTTAAAGAAGTGTTTATTGAAGTTGATTAATTTTCTAACCCATTTGGACCATTTCAATCACATACTTCAACTGGTTTTGATACATCGTCATTCTTCTTTCAGTGCACCCTGTTTAGCACAAATAAAAGATGAATAAAGATCTTTCACCCTTAGTAAATTGTATGGCCATCATTAATTTGAATACAAACCAAGACTCATCATCGAATGGATTTCGTAACATTTTCAATATGTTGTTGAGAAATTCTGCTCACTTTTGCTCTAGCGCAGCCTCCAATTGCTGCAGATTCGCAAAGCAGCCTCTTGCATGCACTTTGCAGTTCAGGTCATCCCAGATGTGCTCTTTTGGAGACATGTCCAGTGTGAACACTGTCCAGTCCATGACATTCATGTTATGACATACTCCCCGGGGCAGTGCCACTGACTGTAGTGTCTTTAGGCCATTCCCAAAGGGGGACATTTCTCGTTCAAGCACTGTAGAATTGTAAATGAGCTGATTCATCATGTCACGCTCATAACTGTGCCTGATCTGCAACAGGGAACTGCTTTTTCTTTCCTAATCCTTACTATTGTCATTTTCCTTCTTCTTCTTTTGTATGTTTGTTACACTCTTGTGACCCTCTATTTACGGGGTGCCTTGATAGTCGAAGCAGACTTTGTGCTGTTGAAGCTAGAGAAGTGAGCAGAGTAAGTCTGTTTCCCTGTGAGGACTTCTCTGTTGACACCCACCCCTTGGTGCTCATATGACCTTATGCAGTTGCGAGCGCCGTAAAACCCTCTACTAAAAGATTTTTTTTTTTAAAATGTTATAACAGTCTAGAAACTGTTACATGGGCAGAGAGAGGTTCTTATATATAAATTTACTTGTGCTGTTTTGCTCAGTGATACGATGTTGTTGTCGCAGATTCATTAACAGCAGTCGTAAATAAAGCAATCTTGATCTAAATCCTAAACGTACAAGACAGCGCCTCATACTGATGGAAGCAAAATATTTTCACTCGCTCCTTGTATGCCTTGAGGTATTACTTTTGCAGGAAGAAAATGATTCCGCAGATGTGACAGCAAAATCTGTCAGGCTGGAGAAGGGCTGGTGACTTGAGACTCTCCTGTTCTTTGTCTATCCCCAACATTTTAAGTGTGCTAAAATCTTTGGATAAATGTAAAGAAACTATACAATATTACAAGTACTGCAGTTGAGCCATCTTGCTGTTTCTTGGGCAGATTTTTCGCTTTAGGCTAGGCTGAGGCACAACTTGCTGTCAGCTTTGCTTAGTTGAGGCGTCTTGTAATTAAAGAAAAGTCACAAGTGATAGAAAAAAGTCAGGACTCCTGTGTAGAAAGAGCTGTTGATCATTTTCCAAGTGAATTAAATTCTTTTCATGAATAATATTGTATTTCATTAATACATTTTACCAGAGCACAGGTGATTGGGCTGTATTGAAAAGTACTAAAGGAAATAACAAAAATGATGCCTGGGCGTGTGAATTAACAACTACTCAACTGTGTCTCCAAAACTCATTGCGATCTGAGTTTATTTGGCTTTCTTATAGCCTTTTAAAAACATTTTGCTTTTTAAATGGCATTCAGTATAGAAAGATGAACTCTAGAGTCATTGTAATGGGTTGGTTTCAGTGTGTTACTTTTTCATGAGTCAGATTTCCATCCGATTTCAAGGCTATGCTGTAGCATGTGCATTATGCTTTGAAGTCCATTGAAGTAAGGCCTTGCAATTCTAAGCAGTCAGATGAGAGTAGGGGTGTGGCTTTGATTTTGCTTAACAATAGATGTTTCATCTTCCATAATAGTTTGATTACCCTTTAGACTCTTAATTTTTCTGGAATGGCATGTTTACAAGATAATAACCTTGCCCCAAAAATGAAAGTTGTGTGGGGGGTTTTTTTGCTTTTTAAAAAAATATGGTGTCTCACATTTTTATTTCAATTCGTGTTCTCCACAGGATCTTGGCATACAACCATTAATATTTTCGGAAGGAAAAGTCCACACAGGTGAGATTACCACAGGCAATTTGATTAACCAGTTATTTGAAAAGTAAGCAAAACCCAGCTCCAAAGTGTCAGGCCATAAAAATAAGAGTGTCAAGGAGAGTTGAGAACATGAATGACATAATACCAGTCAGACATGATTTAACTGATTCCGTCCATGATTTTTTCAGGCTCTGGACAGAATTATTTTTCCCTGTTCCGTTTTAGACCTGGGGTGCATCCATTTAATGCATTACTGTGAAGCTCTAAGTTACTCTAATAGGTATTGTCACATACCAAACTGATGGGAATAAATAGAAGAATCTGTTTATATATCAATAACAATGACCTATAATCTGTTTGTATTGCATTTTCCTTCTGACAAAAAGGAAGGAGGAAAAAAAATTGCTCAACAGCTCTTCGAAAAAACGACTTACCGCATTTTCTCAACTCTACAAGTCCTTATAATCCACAGGAATCAACACAACATTGTAGCGATATCACCCTAGCACACATTTATGCAAGAATTTCACAAATTTAGTTGAATATTTTTCTTTGAAGAACCTTTTTATTATACCAGGCTCTGTGTTGTTTACCCTTAGATCTAGCCTACATCGCGACAACAAAACAACGATTTTTGCAAGAATTTCGCTGAGTTTCGATCGATATTGGCGCTCAGAGATTGAGGTTATGTTTGTATACAAATTCTACTTCCTTTCGACGACTTAAAAAGTGCACATTTGTTTCGGATTTCGTTGAGCCGCTCACAGCGGCCGAATGGATGCAGCGAAAAAACTCAGAGCCGCTGTCAGCGGCCGAATGGACGGAATCAGTTAAGCTTGTTGAATCGCCCCCAGAGGTCGGACTCTTTGATGATGCCAAGCTGAGAAGATGAATCCTCTCTTTGCGATGACAGAATGTCTCATGTAAAAATTAGTTTAAACTTAATATCATGAGTACTCATAATGTCATGGACAGAGAGGAAAACATATAAAGAAGTGCCCCAAATGGCAGATTGTTAAAGATCAGAAACATCAGAAAAAGACAATTGAGTTTCTTTGGCCACATAAATAGATCAAATAAACTAGACAAATTGCTATTGAGTGGAAAGGTAGAGAGAAAGAAGAGCAGGGGAAAACAGTGCAACACACACCGATGGCCTAAACAACTTTGCAACAAATAACACAGAAAAAAATCGAGCTAAATCAAGAAGACATAACAGGAAGGAATGGGGTCTCATGATCGTCAATGTCTGCTCCAGATATGACACCTCAAGAAGATGAAGAATATCATGGGTTGTTGTAAATGTCATAGTATTTTCGTTTTGCTAGAAATGACTACAGTATCTGGTGAATATACAGTTGAACCTGCCATGACGGCCACTTCTATAAGACGGTCACCTGTACAAACGGCCACTTTCTATTTCACCTCCTTGCATTTTTTCTATATATAATTTCACTGCGCAAAACAGCCACCTGTCCAAGGCGGCCGCGGCCACCATATTTTAACACACAACCCCCTACCACACCAAACAATAACACCTGTCTTAGATGGCCACCTCTCTCATCACCCGCGGTTTTGTAATAAATTATGTATTTACTCCTGATGTTGTGGGCGAGCCTTCATAATCCAATCACCTGTCGTTGTTAGGTAGTCCTTCCAGCCAATCGTGTTGCGTAGGTCCTTCCCACTGTTGATCAATAGGTAACAATGTAACACATTTTCAGCTTCTGATGAGGTAAGCGTGTGATCCCTTATAACCTATAAGCCCCGTCCAGAACACAAATCGTAAGTGAGATGAGTGGTCACTGTTTACGATGTCTGTAACAAGGTAACAGTGGACGTCAACATGAACTTGCGACAGAAGCGCCACTCGTTCTCCGAGCAGTGGTGACCCATGTGTTTGTTTTAACATGGCACTCGGTTTTGCTCGTCTGACACATTTCATTTTATTGTCACCCTTGCACAAAAATCAGCAAAAAAAAATAGAAGAAGGAAACAAAAAACAAACCAAAGAAAACAACAACAACAACAATGTGGCTATCTTCGGTTGGGACCTCAGAGGGGAATGGTTTGTTTTCTTCATCTTGATCAGTCCTGCCTAAGAAAGCAACCTGTTTTTACGGCCACTTTTCTCCTTGACAATGGGTGGCTGTCTTACACAGGTTCGACTGTATACATATGTATGATATGATATGATAGCAAGATCACTGGAAGTTCCATTACATTACACAGGTGAAAACTTGTTAATGTGGAGGCTGCTTGTCATTTATTATTGCTTTTCATCTGTGTTATGTTTAAAAATTCACTGTATAGCGAACTCAGGAAGCTTTTTCTAGTCCAGATTTCATCTCTTTGTGTCTTATATTAGGAAAAAAAAAGGGAACATATTTTAATGACGATGCTCTGAAACATATCGTAGCCTTCTGGTGTTGTGTCGGGGGTCTCCGGATCTTCTTGATAACATGTAACAAAATAGAATATGTGATGCATTGGCAGACCGAATTGAAATGACTTTTACTTTAGAGAGATATAAATTGCTGGTCTAGTTGTTGTGGAGTCTTGATTTGGAGAGCTTCTTTTATGGTTAATTTTTGTTTTGGTACCAATAAAGCACAATGTTCAGTAGCAGTGCTTGATTATTGAAAAACAACTAAAAAGTTTCCTGAGTGAGTCGGAGGCCAAACTTGCAGCATCTGACAGGTTTTTCCTCAAGCCAACATGTTGTAAAGGTATAGCGCACATACTTTGAAGTGAAGCAATGTCCTCATACATAGTTATCATGATCTAAATTGTGTCAATGGGGGCATAAAAGCATGCTTATTTAAAATGAAAAAAAAAAAGTATAATTATCACTGTCATCTGCAGGTGGTAAGGTGAAAGGCTTACTGTCTGTGACCAAGTCATACGAGGCCAACTCCAGCCCAGCACAACAGATGTTACAGCTGCCCGGCCGCGTGCCTGTACTCATGCCTGAAGGCTTGAAGACGAGGTTCACCCCTTTTGGAGCGGGTATGTATGCTGACTTTTAGTTTTGTGTGGTTGAGCTATAAGTCCTGACGTGGATGGTTGGCGGGTGCTCTGGTGTGGTTTGCTCCTTCTTGCCTATGAAACGTTTGTCCTTATCTCTGGTCCTTATTTTTTATGTTTGTTGCTCTCTTGTAACACCTCTAAATTTCGACACTTATATTACCTTATTGTGTTGCTAGTGCTGTAAAACTCATACTAAAACAAGAAATAAAAAAACAAGCTATTGTCATTTTCCTCAGCTTCTTTTGTATGTTTGTCACTCTCTTGTGACCTGCTATAAATGGGGTGCTGTGATAGTCGAAGCAGACCATGTGCTGTTGAAGCTAGAGAGGTGAGCAGTCTAAGTCTGATTCCCTGTTTAGACTTCTCTGTTGACACCCACCCCTTGGCGCTCATATGACCTTATGCAGTTGCGAGCGCCGTAAAACCCTCTACTATAAAAAAAAAAAAAAAAATCTTCAGCCCCACAACATCTTTTGTACTGTGCATGCTACACGTCTTATCATTGTGATCATATTCTTCTCTTTAAATCAAATGGGCTGGTTTATTGAGAAAGACAAAAAAAAACAAGTACTCTGGCTTTTGTGCCGCTAAGATGAATAATGGCACTCCCATTTTCCTCTCTTCCAGGGAGCCCAGTGAAAATGCCAGTTGGGAAAACAAAGAAAAAATCTCACAAGCGTGAACTGGATGCTTCAGGGAATTCTCCAGATGTTCATCGAAAGAAAAGACGGAAGCTTAATGGTGGGGATGATGCAATTGGAGATACACCATCACCACAGAAACACAAGAAACACAAGCACAAGGCACGGAATGTGAGGAAAATAGCAAAAATATGTTGACTTTTAGAGCAACTGATTGCTGTTACCTCAACTGTTTCCCATGTTGTGTTTTTTTTTGGGGGGGGGGGGGGGGTTAAATTATAATGTATAATGACACTGTTTTTAGACGGTCAATTTTCTCATCGTCAGTAGGTGGCTGGCTGTCTTAGACAATTTTGACCATATACAGGGTGATCCAAAAAAAACTTTACAACTTTTTTTCTGAATATCTCGCGCAAAAATTGTTCTAGAATACTGTAATTTGGAACAGACATAAAAAAGCACCCAAAAACGCGAAATTCACCAATGTTTAAAAATCTTGTAAAGGAAGTCGTGAAAAGATTAGTTGACCTTTTTCTTTATTTTTTTTTTTACATTAATTTTCCATCCCTGTGACATTTAAACAATTTTAAATTTATTTTACAGAGTTTTAAAAACCTAATGATTTCATTCTGAAATTCCTAGAAGCAGTGCTCCACATTCCCTCCTTTGAACTCGACACATTTTTAATGCGTCGTTCGAAATGTTCGGTGGCGCCCTAACACAAGGACCTGCTAATCCATGAGTTTTTAAAGCCACATACACTGTACATGTTCACTAAGAAGTGGCTTCTAGAGACAATAGAGTGGGGTGCCCAATAGACAGCATTTTTGGAGTTAACATATCCCGCAGGGTGAAAATGGGCTTTGCACTAAACCAAATGTCATCGAGGAAACGATCCCTTTTTACAAGACAATCGAGGAATCATGAACACATTACCATTCTCTGATCCATGTCATCTCGGTCTAGCGAAGATGAACATGGTATAGTCGTAGGTTAAGATCTGCAATGAGAATGCAGGCTGTTGATGTGTAGGAAAGTCTTAGCTGCAGATTGTCTACGGACAGACGTCTCATGGGACTTGGCTAATGAAATCTGTACTCTGGTGACGTTTAAAGGGCTGTGCATGGTGCTTGCTTGACCTGAAGTGGTCATTTTTTAAAGAACTTTTTAGTTCTGATTCGCTATAGATCCAAACTGACGGAACTTCTCTGCTCCTGACTCCAAAGGCCTTTTAGGGCACCTAAGCATTCTCTCCATGCCGTGCGCAGAACTTATGAAATATCAGGGATGGTGAGTTTGTGGAGAGGTAATGTTCCATACAAAAAGCTCTCTGCTTTTTACCAAACGTAGCCCTGATCACAGCAGGCAAACAAAATTTGGGAAAATAATATCTGCAAACTTCTGTTGACTTGTTAGACTGCTGTAGCTTGCAATATGGCGCGATTGTTGCAACCTTTAGTGGTAGACCTAATGCGAACTGGTGCGTCATGCTATGAAAATGGCGACAAGGTTGAAAATGGGTTGTTTTTTTAATGGGCTATATATAGAACAAAACCATTCAATGTACTTATCTAAAATACATATCAGAAAAATTCCCTTTGGCTTCCAAATGTTATGTTCAAATCTGAAAAGCAAAACTTCAGTATGGAGGAAGATATTTACGAAATAAGTTGTAAAGTTTTTATTTCATCACCCTGTATGTGTCCCTGCCGGTCAATATCAGTCAGTCATATGAAGGAAATTTCAAAACTGAATTAACATTATTTTTTAAAAACTATCTTCTTTTCCCCACAATTTAAAACAAGAATGAAGTAAATATGACCATATTTGACGAAAATACAGAACTTTTAATAGTGCGAGGTGAGGAAACACGAAAAGGAGAAAATGGCCTTCGAAGTTGAGCAACATGTTTCCATAGCAATGGGGGTCTTAGAATTGAGATAGAGACTTGAAATTTAGCAGTTATCTTGGCTATGCCACTACAAGGTAACATACAAAAGTAGAAAACTATTCATGTACAGAGAAAATACTTTTGGACCAAACAAAACTTTAACAAGAATGGACTTCACACCAAATGCAACAAAATATTATAGACCTGCATGTTTGCCGACAATCGTCTGAAATCCGACAATCGCGACCCGACCCACGAGCCGGCCGATGCTATCGCTAGACCCACCTGTATCAATCAATGTGCGTAGTGCTAGGCCTGGCCGACTGCCAGCGCCCCTTTTTTCTCCCGTCGGCTTTGTAACAGAGTACATTCACTATAACATAGAAATGAAGCCTAGTATTTTTCAAGACTGTGAGATCATTACAAGTCAGTATTTTATTGCCTCAAACACGATGATCTGTCGTTATTTCAATAAAGACACCGAGCGTTGTCTCGGCTGACTTTGCACCAGCTTTCGCGGCGAGCGAGCCGGCTCAATACAGTAGTATACTGAGTGCTCGCGGTAGTTTCGCGGAATGATTCATGCTCAATAATTCTAAGCCGATGACTTTATTCTAATAGAAAAAGAACTGTTCTTTCTATTGGTACCTTTTTTAGCCGGTATTTTACACATTTCGTGTTAAAAATGATCTTTGAAAACTTAGACCCTTTTTTTTTCAAGGTTTTCTTTATAAACTCCAAAGGCCAAAAATAATAAACACCGGAAGCCATAAGCAAAGCTGTATAGTTCTCCGCCAATGAAAAGACGGTATTTAGGCATCAATATTTCTGCAAAGCATTCGAATGCATGGGTGTCAATTTTAAACCGGGGGACCTCGCATTCCAACCTCGAGGGGCTTCCTTTTCCACAGCGATTCTCCAGCTCCAAATAGGCCTACCCGGATATACAAACAACTTACAGTATTATAATGAATAAAATCTGAACTTTTTCAAAGTGTTCAGCATTTGGTGTTTTATAGCAAAAGAGCAAAGAAACAGAGATCTGAATTGCCCCCTTTTCACCGAATCCACGCGCTCGGAAGGCCGCGAGTCGGCTTACGTGCCGTGTTTACGCTACCTGATTATGCGTTTGCAATTGCACCATAAACACACAAGAGCACACACACACACACACACACACACACACACACACACACACACACACATGCAAACACACCAACACACATACACACACATGCACATAGACCACCTCGGTGGCCTCTTGGTAAGGAGTCCGCTCTGAGAGATCTAGAGGAAGGTTAATTAATCTTTTAAAAGCTCTAAAACACAATAAAAACGAATTTTTAAAGCCAATCCAAGTGTAAAACTGAAAGGTCAACAGACGATAGCAGCTAGCAGGGCACACCCACACAGTCAGCTGTTAACGCAAACAAGCTTGAAGTGACCTGTCCATGTTCACACAATTAAAACAGGAGTAAGCCATTCTTAAAATTTACTTCAGTCTCTACACTGGTTTGCCATCTTAATCTTTGCTTTTGATTTTTAGCCTCGCATGTTCTACACAGTTTTTTAAAATACTCAGACTCAAGGTGTAGTACTACTAGTACTCGGTTGTTGATAATGAATCCAAGAAATTGAAAGCGGGACCCCGGGTGAAGACCACATGGGGCGGCTGGGAAAATATCATAAGGTGAAGTGACAAAAAGTCATGCTAAAGTTTTTCAGTCAATCTAAACAATTTTTCACAGATATCCTCCCAACAGACACTTAATACAGCAGATAAAAAATGATAACAATCTGCTGTTCACGAATGGAAAAAATTCCTGATCTTTGTAGCAATCCGAGAAATATGAGCACCACAAGGTACAAGCTTATATCTAGAAATAAACTAAAGGGTATGGGATATTGGGGAGTCTGGGCTTTCATTTCCTACCTCACACATCCGTAGTGATAGATAAGTGAGAACATTTATAGGGGTCTAAATCTAGAGAAAATTACAGACTTTCTACCCCAAATCAGCTGACAGCGCTATTGCCCAGGAAGCATTGCACAGCCCAACTGTCAGGTGGGATTAGTGACCCTGAGAGGTCAGCAGACAGGTTAAACTGAGTGCTCCACAAGAAAGGTTGAGCTGAACAGCCATGTGAGGGTGGTAAATGTACATATGGACATCAGAGCTGTGCCTCAATAAAAGTTCTGCTTGTGTTTGCAAAGCCTAAATCCAAAACGAACACCTCGCTCAAGTCATTTATTCACATGCGGGTGGTTGGTGGTGCTCTGGTATGGTTTGCTGTTTGCTCCTTCTTTCCTATCAAACATCTATCATCTTTATCTGCCCTCCTTCTTTTTTGTGTTTGTTATTCTCTTGTAACACCTCTAATCTTCGGCACTTACATGACCTTATTGTGTTGCAAGTGCCATGAAACTATTGCTAAAACAAATCATTTGGTCACTCCTGCAAGTGACCAGCATCAGCAATGCCACTCGCACTCCGCGTCAAACACACTGGCAACTGCCTCACAGCTCGCTCTTAGTAAGCCACTTGGGTTGCAAACCGTGACCATGTGTGAACTGCTTCAGTAAGCTGTAGGAGTAAAGAGGAAAAGAAGGGTAGGGATGATTCTGTTCACGATGAAGAGATCAGTAGTTTGGGCTTAGCTGAGTGAGTGGCTGAATTACTCGTAGTCGTAGATGCTTTGTATCATAGTAGGCTTACAAAATCATGATGGAAAGTTTTTTGGGTTGCTGAGATTGGCCTTCTTATCACTGATGAATGAGTGGTCCATCACTAATTTTGAAGGAAGTAGAATTAAAGTTGGTATTTACGTGCGATTTCTTTTTACTAACAAAATAAATGATACAATATCAGTATCTCCAGTCACTTTATGGCCCAATACCCAGAGCTAGTTGAGGAGAAGCGAAAACAAAAATGATTTCCTCTTTTATTGATTTCACTTTAGGCTAGCTGCTCTGCACAGAGAATGCGAAGCTAATGTGATATAAGCCCACAAGAGTTTATGTTGTCTTAATACTGTACAGCAAGCCTGTCCTTGAGCAGCAAGTGGAAACATTGGAAATTCGTCTCGGTTACGAGCTGTACATGCAAAGCACAAGCCTGCTCATGAGCCTATGAGTGTGAGCAGCTCAAATCTTGCAAGCATTGGATCATTTGAGCAGACTCCAGCTCCAATGGGCATCAACATTTTGCTTAATGGGTCATCTCTGTCTACTGGTGTGGGTGGTTAGCAGGTGCTCTTGTGTTGTTTGCTTCTTCTGTCCTGTCAAACATCTGCCTCCTTATCACTCCTGTCTTTTCCTTGTATTTTTCTCTCTAGAAACACCTCTAATCTTTGGCTCTTTCTTCTATGTTGCAGGTGCTGTAAAACTCTTACTAAAACAAACTTTGTTTACTTCTTCGCTTTGTTTTCTTTTTCTCTTTGACTTTGACCAGTGTGTGGTTGGCGGGTGCTCTGGTGTGGTTTGCTTCTTCTTTCCTCTTAAACATCTATCGTCCTTATCTCTCCTCCTTTTTTACGTTTGTTGTTACTCTCTTGTAACACCTCTAATCTTCGGCAGTTATATGACCTTATTGTGTTGCAAGTGCCGTAAAACTCTTTACTAAACTAAACTAACTGACTTTGACCTGCTTTGTAATATTATGTCCTCACGTCTGCGTGTGAATGCTTGTATTAATCCATGCCATAGTTTTCACTCCAAATATATTTCTTTAACCCTCTCTGTACGTCGTGTTTTACTATTATATCCTATGCCATGGGGAACTCTGTGCCCCCGCTTTCCAAAAAGGATATTTACTTGTTGATCCGGTCCGTACGCTTTGCATAGCAGTCTGTCAAAGGATTTTTTTAAAGAAATACTGAAAGTTTCAAAGAAAGAGATCTTTGCACTAGGCCTAGAAGTATTCTAGAACTAAAATGTGAAGAATACAACTCCTGTGGTACAATATTACCCCAGGCATACGAATACGGTTAAGTGAGGCGTTTTTAATGGAATTGAGCATTATAGTCTCCATCTCTCCTTATTTTTATTTATATATATATATATATACACACACAGGGTCCCCACCAGGTCGGGAAATCGGGAAAAAGTCCGGAATTTTTAGATAGGTCGGGAAAAAGTCGGGAATTTTGTGATGGGTCGGTAAGTCGGGAAAAGATAGGGCCTGTGTAATATTAGTAGTGTAGCTATCGAGACAGTATGGTTGTTGAATCATGAAGAGGAAACGTAATTGAACCGCTATGGCGGAAGTGTATGTGTGACACCGAGGCTCAATCGGGAAGAATCAAGATCTGCTTTCGCTTTCGTTACCACCCAGAAATTTTCCGGTAATAGTCTGATAGATAACGCAACATTTGTAACATGCAAGTTGTGCATTACGAACGCTGTGTGGCCTTGAAAATAATCAATATTAAAAGTTTGTCCTCTGCTGTCACTTGTGAAAAAAAAAAGAAAAGAAAGTTATACAAGCGTCTTGTCAGGTTCACCCTCGTGACCGGTCAATGGACCTGTGAGTACCGGCGGTCTGAGCGCTGTGAAGTAGGCCTATAGGACTCCGGAATGGGTTGGGGAGGGGGGGGTTAAAGATACACTCAAGGAAGGGGGTTGGGGGGGGGGGGCTGAAGACTACGCTAGAGGTTAAAAACCGAACTTGGAAGCAAATTTTTAGTATTTAGAATTTTGATAACTACTATAAGAGCTCTCGGCAAAGCGCGTGTTAGTGCAGGCCTTGTGTGGAATCGGGATCCGTCATGCCTTGTTATTGAACTAAAGTGTTTGCGTTTCATTGGATGGGGTGACTGTAATTTATATCTAGATTCTAGATCTATATTTTAGCTTTCTGTTCAAGAATGGCAGAATTTCAGTGTCACTGCATCTTGCCCTCCCTCAGTTCTTACACCTCTCTCACTGAATAGGTCTACTTAAGCCATTCAAATTATTACTAAAATTACTCTACTTTGAGTTTGAGCAATAGTTTTCGTCTTCACGTTTATTATATGAATCATGACACCCAGACTGGTTATTGACAGTCGATATTCTAGTTTTAGATCTTTTCTCAGGCTCAAAACAGGATTCCTTTATTATTTAGGGCCTATAGTTTATGTAGGCTAATATGATGAGGGGAAAATATAAATACATGTAAGTAAGAACAGACTGAAATACCAAAGTCACCCAAGATCCCAGTGCCACACTGACATGTCGACTGAATATAATGTACCGTACCTACATGTGTGTGTTCACAAACATATATATTAGATATAAATGGAGCACGCGCTGTCATTGTTACGTAACATGCCCCTGGAAAATGGAGCCCCCCCCCCGGGAAAATTGAGAAGCTGGGTAGCAGTCACCCAGTATTACAATCATCTATTGTTTGAATGAAGACTATACTTCAAAATGTACTTTTGCATTTAAAGACATTTGGACTTTTTATCACTGATATATGGCCTTTTTGGGGGATCATTCTTGAGGCGCAGCAGCCTGATTTTTCCCTCAAATTGGGTCTTGAAAAAAATTTGGGTGTCTTGAAAAAATTTTTCAGGATTTGGTGGTATACAGTTCTTATCCAGATTTCAAATTAACAATTTCATGTAATAAAAAAAGAAGGAGTCGGTGGCTGGCATGGCAGGTGCTTCTCCTGTCTTCTCAAACACCAATGCTCTTATCTCTACTCCTTTTTCTGTTCATTACAGTCTTATTAAACACACCTCATCTTCAGCACTTACATGACGTTCTTGTGTTGCAAGTGCGATAAAACTCTTTGTAAAATAAAACAATGTTGAGGCCTTTTATGAAAGTGGAAGCAATAAGACCAAGGCTCAAATGTGTGGATATTTCGATCTGCAATCAAGCACTTTGTCCACAGATAGGCTTTCTATTGATATACTCCTTTGATTCCAGCAATAGTGATATAGGGCTATACTATAATAAGATATTGTGTTTTCCATTAATTCTCGCTACAGAAGAGTTTGACTGTACTTCCATAGGTCTCTACAAAAAATTTTCTTTTAATTCTTTTAAAGTCAATACACATGTATTCTCTTTTTCTGTTCACAGGACATTGATGTTAAAGATGATCCCGAGACAGGTGCAAAGATCACAGACATGGACTGCAGTCGTGTCAGTGTTGACAGTTTGTCGGATTCTATGAGCTCATCTAAAAAGAAGAGAAAGAAATTTAATCTAGTGACAGGAGAAAGTGATGATTCAGGAATGGATTTAAAGAATATGTTTGTTGATAGTGATGTAAGTTGTAGTGGAACTGGAGATGGACAGATACCTGCCAAAGTCAAGAAATCTTTGGGTACTGGTAAATCTCCTTTGAAAAATGCCGAGTTCATTGCCAGAAATGGAGATGAGGATTCTCCTTCTTTTAATTTGACACAGCCTGATGAAGATGTACAAACAAAGAAGAAAAAGAAATCGCACTCCAGATCTAAAAGTGTAGATGTGAATGCAAGTGTTATTGAAGGGTTGCAAGACAGCTCAACAAAAAAAAAGAAAAAGAAGAAAGACAAGAGGATAGATTTAACATTACCCTAACTTTATTTTTCACTATGTTCATGTTCCACCTTTAAGTTTCTCCTTTTTGGCAATAAAAAAGTCATGCATATTTTGCATTTTGTCAGTGTTTTTTAAAGCTGAAGTGGATAAGTTGACACACATCCTTATTTGTTAATTTTTGTGGTTGTTTATGTGCTGTTCTTATTTTGATTTCATTCTGTTGTGAAACCTTTATTTTTACACTTTGTTACAGTGTGTCTGGCTACAAATGATACCTGTATTCTGATTGCTTAAAACAGCACAAGAAATTCTGAGACTTTAGATTAAGTTTCCTCTATCAACATATTGCTATACGTCATCACAGAAAGTTGAAAGCTTGAAAATCAATGGCAACGTTTATGGCAGCTTTTGCCATTTTTATGGCAACTTTTCGACAAAAAAATGGCAATAAACGCAGATGCTAGCTTATTTGTTGCATTTGCAAATGTTTCTTTCCCTTTAACTATCCCCGCGGTTTTATGCAAAAAAAATTCTGAAATTATGCAAACTGAGCCCAGAAATGTAAAATTATACGATCTTCTGTTAATTTTATACGAAGAATGATAAAGGAAGATAATCAGAAATTATGCAAAAAATGATTAAATTTTGCTAAATTATGCGGGGTGCATAAAACCACAAGGTCCACTTTATCCCTCAATGTGTGCACACTATCTTTTTTGTATGTATGTGTGTGCAAGCTCTCTCCACGGTTTCTCCACCATAGAACTACTATGCTTCTTTTTATTTTCATAATGTCTGAATCCTTGGCATGTGCACTATATCTCATATGTACCACATCTCTCTTCTTAGTCTTTATTAGTACTCTTCTTGGATGGACACTTAATCTCTTTACAAATAATTTACACATCAGCTGTACCTCTCTATATTATGTCTGCTATGTACATGTATGAAAGATAGTCAATATGATAGGCCTACATGACATGTACATGTATCTTTCTACGTGTCTGCCTAATATTTAATAATCTTTCAATGTGTTATGTATAGAATTCTGTTTGTCTGTTGCGCTTTCTCTCTCTCTCTCTCTCTCTCTCTCTCTCTCTCTCTCTCTCTCTCTCTCTCCCTCCCTCCCTCCCTCCCTCTCTCTCTCTCTCTCTCTCTGTCTCTCTCACTCTCACTCTGTGTATAAACAGTCAAAATTGTTTAAGACTACTACCCATTGTGGAGAAGAAAGTGGTTGTCTTAGACAGGTGGACGTCTTGAACAGTGTCATAAAATAGAAGAAAAAAAACCACAGGGGGGTGGGGAGTGGGAATGGACAGGTGGCCGTTAAACTGTATCTTTATAATAATATAGCGGACATGACATGTGCACTTTATGTCCACTAACATATGAACGACGACCGTCTGCCAAAACAACTTGTTAAAAGTGAGTAGGCCCTACATGTAGTTGGCAGGTGCTTTGATGTGGTTTATACATGTACAAATTACAATATACCACTGTCAGTAACAGAAAACGTTTTCTGACTAAAAGAAAATTAGTCCAAATATTCGTCTTATTAATAAACAGAATACAGAAATGACTTCTGCTGATACTGAATGAATTAAAAGATTTGAGCTCCCTTAAAGTACTTGGCAAAGCATTCCAGATCTTGGGGTCTTAATATTCAAATGCCCTTTCACCGAGACCTGCTGATAACAGCTCGTCTCGCCTTTCACCCATTGTTTTAAGTTTCATAGATGGTAAAAGAAATTTCTTTTTTGTCAGCTGATGGCCTTAAATTGCAAGTTGGTATACAGTCTCCAGAGATTTGATAATATGATGGTGCATTGTCATTCAAGCATTTGTGACATATGGTGGCCAACTTGTACTCAATTCTTTTATCAACAGGAAGCCAATGCAATGTCCGTAAAAGAGGTTTAGCAGAGTCTCGCTTTCTTTTCCGTAAAACTAAACATGCAGCATTGTTTTGGACAGTTTGAAGTCTTTTAACTTTCTCCAGAATCAAGTAATTCAGTCATCTGATGAGGATGTCACCAAATCAACCACCTGTAGGAGCATACAACAAGGACAGGTGCAGACCATGTAATAATAATAAAGGAGGTCCTCCAAAAGAACAACATATCAACAATAGAAGCCACTCAGATAGCCCTTGACCGAAAACTGACCTTCCCATCGCACGGCGCACATGCACACACACGCGCGCACGCACATCCTGAAACATTCTCAACTATCCGAAAAGCGTTTCGTCAAAGCTGAAGTTTCACAGGCTGCTAATATTAATATGATACATGTATTTTTCGCAGGTTTTACTAGGAACTCGTTTTAACCTGGGCGAAGAGACTTACACACACACACACACACACACACACACACACACACACACACACACACACACTCAGACAAAAGAACCCAAATCAAATGAACTCCTATGAACTTATTTTGTATTTCATTTCATATCACCATTTGTTGTGGATATTGTTTTGTTTGAGTAGGCTAAGGAGAAACCACATTGACAAAATAATGGTCATTGATTTAGTGCTGGGAAACAGTAATTCAACAGACAGAAACAACGGAGGAAAAGTAAAGTAGTAGGACCCACCAGTGGCGCCTTCCAACCACCGGCATCAATTTTACTACAGTATAGATTTTTACAATATTGCAATATATTACAATTCAATAAATGGTAATAGATTGGTAAATTAAGAGAGTAGGCTACAAGTAGGACTATGGCCGTTTTAGCTTTGTTCACTTTCATTTGACCGCTTTTAAAAAATGATACATAAACAATCCCATCTGATTTTTATATTCCAAGGTTAATTTATGCAGGTCTAAAAGTTAAAATGACAACAGAATCTGAAAGTAAAAGCCCATTAGGGGGGGGGGGGGCAATGTGCCGATTTGGCTCAAAATTATGGCATTTGAGTTTTGAGCTGTAGGCATTTAAAGCTTCCCCAGCCTATCCTACAACTATTTCATTGCGTAAGAACCACCAAAAGCCTTATTTTTTCCTATACAGTGGAGTCCACTTAAAACGAGTCCTGAAACAACGAGAAGTCTGTTATAAAGACAGTATTCTAAAACCCCGTTTTTTCTCCTTCTTTATCTTTGTAAATAAAATACTGCTATTGCGCAACCAGAGCGTCACGCGAGTCGCTTTTAACGAAATATTGCTGCTGCTGTGCACAGCGCGCAGACCAATTACAGATATTATAAAACCTTGCCAGTTGAGAAAGTTGTTGGTGATCCAGCGAAGCAAAGAATGGGAGAGCCCACGCGAACCAATAATGAAGGCCGGAGTGAATGAGTGGGGAGGGTGTGGCATGCGCAGACAAGCAGAACGCATCGCGTGATAGTTGAAAGGCCAGCCCAGTCTAGATTATCTAGCCATACCGTGCCTCTCACTTCTCTGGTGCGGGACGGAGAGGTCACAATGCTGTGATTCGTGATAGATGGAGTGAATGTGCGACGTGCGCTAGCAGACGCAACGCACCACAGTGTGGTGGGGTGGGGGACAACACAGCGGGCGAGTTAGCCTAGAGCCAGGGCCCCTTCCTGCTGATCGCCAACGCCGAGCTGTCAACAATGCTAGTGCTAGAGAAAGAAACCTAATTCGATTTTTGATCAAGTAAGACCTAGAGATCATGTTGAACAAATCATCTTCAGGGGAAATACAAAAAGGAATAAACAGAACGCCAAACTCATAGATTAGGCCTGCTTTACTATTTCCCTTGAATGTATTACTGGATCCCTTGTAACGAGAATCCTGCTATAACGGACATTTCGCACCGGTCCCCTACCTCTCGTTATAACAGGATTCCACTGTACCGGGCATGTATGTCACCACTACAGTGGGTGTCACATTCAACGAGAAGTCGGCTCCAACAAGGCAATCCTAAATCCCCGATTTTTCCTCTCTATATCTTTGTAAATGAACGTCAGCTCCAGCGAGGTTGCAAAGTGACCGAAGTTGCTTTCAACGAGGTCGCAATAACCAAATAAAAGCAATTTTAAAAAGCAATTAACGGCCCCAAAAGCGAAACATTTTTTTCCTTTCTCTCCATCTCTCGCGAAGCATAAGGCCCATCCTCGATTCCTAACGCATTGTACATTTGTATTGCTAGATGATACAAGATCTCGTGTGCCTCGTAATATGGGCACCAAAGCCAAGAGGATGTGCGAGGGTTTGCCTAGGGTATGGACGGGATTGAGTGGGTGGGACCGTGATGTGGGATATGTGAAAGTGGATGAACTCTGGATGGGTAGGTCTTGATCGAGATCTTCAATTTAAAAAAAATTATATTCTTCCCCTGATCAGAAAATCCAAGCTACCGCCTTTACTTTATTATGTAGATCTAGGCCTAGATGTGGGAGGGTATGTTTCCACAAGAGAAGTGTTCCGGAAAAAATATTTTAGAATGCAGAAATGACGGTCAGAACACAGCTCAAATACGTGCACACTGATGCCGTTTGCGATTTTTGCCATCGGGGGAATAACTGTTTTAATTACTGGTATTGGTACATCGTGTAATATAATGACTTGTCTCCTTTCTTTTCTTTAGCCTTAGTCACGTTCAACGAGAGGTTGGATTCAACGAGGACAACAAGCCGGCCCCGGCAACCTCGTTGAATGCGACACCCACTATATTTCCTCATAGTTGATAAAAAGAGTAATAGGCGATTTACAGCATAGCCTACTAACACATTAAAAAATATATTGATCTATTGTATTTTGATCAACACCACCCTTTAACTTTAATGTACGCCAATGAAACACGGTCCAACAGACAGGAGAGTACATTAACTTCTCTGTAACGCACGCGGAGATGTCTCTAGACAGTGGAGGGAGGAAATCTTCAATACTCACACTGAACTGTGGGGGCAGAGGGTGATGTCGCTATGATCTCTCCTTGCTATGTCTCCAAATGAGCCATTTGTTGGCATGGTCACTGTAAATCATGATATTATACATGCATTTTCTTAGTGATCGTGTGCATGCATTCAAGAGCCTTGTTTACTAAAATGAAGTGTCTGTTTGAAACACCGCGTTTCGATTAGCCCCACTAGTGCTGCCTTAATAACATGTAATGAGAAACTTTTAAAAATAACTGAATC